AACAAGAAGACATAAGACAAGATATTTTTCATTGACCCCACAGAAATACCCTATTCTTATCTCTTGGAAGTCAGGTGTGATATCACCTCTGGAATTCCAGTAAGTATCTTGGATAAATGATTAGACAAAGATGGCTAAGGAAAGAATAAGTGCTTGGGCAATAATAATAAGGCCACAATACCATCCCTGCACTGTCTAGTCAAGACCTATTACTTGGGAAACGTTTATATTCTTTAAGCCACTCATATCAGCTCTAAACTAGCAGAAAGAAAAAAGAATTCCTCATATTTAGCCCTCATATGTAACTTTTTCAACCATGTACACTGATAAAATTAAAGATAAATTAGAAGATAATTCCAATTAAATGCAAGAATTAATAAAAAATAATGTATCTTATACCCTCTGAAACTTTTCATAAAAGTAGAAGTATTATGTAAATTGCGTACCAAGACCAAGAGATTAGGACTGTTTTCTAAGAAAATTAAATCTGAATTTCTTTAAAGCGAAATTAACTTGTATTTTATAAAATCAATGAGGCAAGCCCTTTCTGTTAAGATAGTCTCTTAGGTATCGTGCATAGACCACTACAGCTGTTAAAACTTATTGAAGAATCAGCAGGTACTTTTTGCCAGGAACAGTATTACATAAATAAAAAACTAATTAAAAGTCTCAAAGTAAAGATAAAGTAAGCGTTCTCACTCAGGCCCTGCTGACATGTTAGGCCAGGTAACTGTCTTACACACTGGAAGAAGTTCAGCAACCTCTCTGGCCCCCACTCACCAGCTACCAGTCCAGACAATCAGAATTATTCTGAGACTGCCAAATGACCCTAAGAACCTACCAGGGATCTAGTTAAAAATCACTGTGCTTTATTCATCAGATGATTGGCTATAAACAGAATATCTATATTGACCAAAATTTAAGGATAGTAACATTTCTAAATATTCTCAAGGTTCATTATGGGATACAAACTATTAACTCCAATATATCAGATTATCTCTAATTCCTCTCTTAAACCCTCAGAGGATTTTACATCACAGAAATATTAATAGCTTCTATCTACTGGAGTCTATCTATGCGCTATGTACAGTCCTGAGAACTTGATGTTCATTCTCTCCTTTTATAATCCTGATCCTCATGAGGTAGCAATTGAGCCCTCTGGAGTACAAAATAATTTTAAAGTCTACTTTAAGCTATCAAAGTGTTTCCAGAAATACGTGTCTCACTATAATCATTCTAACACTAAACTAAGAATGCAGTACTTTAACTTGTTTAGTTTATAATTTATGACCAAAGTCTGCTTATTGTAGCTTTTAGGAGTTGCATGTTCCATACACCTAACAAGTCAGGGAGACAAACAATAATGATGGTTCTTGAAACAGTTTTTAACACTATGGCATAATAATAGGGTATACTTTAAAATCTTTTGTCTCGCCTTTAATCCCAGCACTCGGGAGGCAGAGGCAGGTGGATCTCTGTGAGTTCAAGGCCAACCTGGTCTACACAGAGTGTCACAACAGCGGGGGCTATAGGAAGACTATATATATATATATATATATATATAGTCTATGATTCCTTGAGTACCTTCCAGATTTTTCTCCCTTCCTTGGCACTAACTCACCACCCCCGCCACATACACACAAATTCAATTTGTAATTATTTGATGCTATATCTGTAATTTCAATTTGCCTTACAGTAGATATTGAAGTCTGAGTTTAAATCTCAGTGGGTCCTTCCTTTGGAATCTAAATTAACTTGCTCAGGCTTCAAATTCAGCTATGCAACCTGATACCTGCAGGTTAAGAATTAATAGGCTCTCAATAAAACCTGGCTTTCCCTCCCTTCCATATCAAAGCAAATTAAGTATGGGTTAAGGGACCAATCCATTGAAGCTTTCCTTTTAGCAGATACCTAACAAGGGCCAAGGGAGGAGGTAATTAAAGGCAATTAGTCCACCTTTATATCATGTCTATTGTTTTACTTTTCCTTAACAGAACTGTTCCTTCCTCTGTCTCTACCTCACAGCTAACAGCCAAGAAATTTTGATTCATATTTCCCTCCAAAGGAAGATAAATTGTAGCCTTTCTTCTTGGTACCACTAAGCTGTGAATATAATTCATGTGTTTAGCTGTTACTAAGGGTATGTTATCTATTTTAAGGATTATTTGCAATTTTGTAATTTACTAATGAGTGAAAGTTAATATTGCCACTAGTAAATATTAAGGGCCAAATCTTTAAAAGAATCAATCTTTGGGAATTCGGTTATATAAGCCACTGTTTCCCTTATTGGCAGATCAAATGATATACTAATATTTTATTAAGTAGTAGACAAAATGCAACTTATTACATGTGATTCTTTTGTTCCATCTAAAAGTTTAAATGTTTGTTTTTTTTTTTAAAAAAAAAAAAAAAAGCTTCACAAAGCTCACTTGCAAGGTGGAACCCAAGCAAGAATCCAAAGAGAAGTACTAATGATCTCTGAAATACGTAATCAAGGTTAAGGTAAAAGTTACGAACATGAAAGTTGTCAGTACAATGCTCATAACTATAATAAAATAAAAGTCTGCTACATTTTTCACTTTCAGTTTTATTCTTGGATATTCAGAATTTTATTAACCAGTCAATTTCATTTGTTCTTAAAATATTTTACAGGAACTGGAGAGACGGCTCAGTGGTTAAGAGCACTGGCTGCTCTTACAGAGGACCTGAGTTTGATTCCCAGCACACACATGACAGTTAACCAACTTGGGATATAACGCCCTCTTCTTACCTCTGAGGGCAATGCACCTCACGGGTGCATCTACCTCTGTGCAAACAATATACTCATGCACAATTTTTTTTAAATAATAAAAATAAATATTAAAAAAATTTACAGTCAATGATCGGATACTGATTTTGTTTTGAAGCAGTCTCACTATGTAGCCAAGCTATCCTTGAACTTGTGCTCTTTGTGCGCCTGTCCCCAAGTGCATAATTTTCCCCAAGGTAAATCTTTTCATTTGTTCTTAAAATTTTGACTTCAAGAAACAAGAGTCATTAGAAGTTCTCTAAAAATGTCTTGCACTCAAACTTTCAAATTCTGCAGCAAGAGGAGTTTTCTGATCAACAAAATTAATGTAATCAACTTTAGGCTGGGAGGAAAGCCTAAGATCCAGCCTTAGATTCAATGCACACACACACACACACACACACACACACACACACACACCTGGATGAGAGAGGCAAATGATAAAGCTTTTCTTTTAAAAAGCAAAAACATTTTTGTCCCTGAAAATACTAAAATGTCAAATGTATCTTAATTTTCATGACTTTTAGGTTGCTAGGTACAATGTCTACCAGCAACATGGTTTCTAAACAGAAAACTATTTTAGAAGACAAATAGGGCTGTACCCATAAGAGCACGCCTTTAACGCCAGCACTCTAGAGGCAGAGAGATAGGGAGATCTCTGAGCTCCAGGCTAACCTGTTTTACACAGTGTGTCTCAAGTCAGCCAGGGTTACATAGTAAGACCCTGTAAAAACAAAACATTTAGCCTCAGTGAACATCAATTATCAAGATAAAAATGTTTTCAAGAAGGTCACTAAATAGAGAAAAAAATGGTGATGATACTGATAAATGCTTTATACCAAGGTTGTTTCAACCTTCAAAACAATTTATCTATGACACTGGTGTAACTGTCAAAAAAAATTTAATTTAAGCATTAGTAACTTACCCAAAAATATCACCTCTATCCTTTTTTCCTTAAATGCTTGGAGGGACATAAAAAGAATGTCAGCGAATATAATGCCCACTCCTTGTCAGTTGTATTGTGCACCTGTTACAGTGTGAAATTACCAGCTAACTGATCCAAACCTTTTATATATTTACAATTTAGTAACTATCATGACAGAAAAGGAAACTGAGGCACAGGGGCTAAATAACTTGTATAGGTCAACTGCTAAGTGGTGGGGCTAGGGCTTGAACTCCCTAAAAAGCAATTTTTTTAAAGGTAGGATGAGAAAAAGATTTTTTTTTCTAGAAACAGAAGTGTTGTGAATGTGAACAAAAACGTCAGTTATAAATGTATGCGGATGAGAATGCAGATTACACAAACTTTACCCCTAAACACGTAGGTTGGTTCTATGTTTGCTTACAGTTAAACACAAAACTACATCGAATCCTAAAGGCAGTCCGTAGAGTATAGGAAATAATTTACTGTCACTTTTCCGATACTGAATTTAACAGGCTAACCAAAATACATCGTAATTTAAAGGATGGGGGAGGGGTGCTGTAACCAGAGCGATAGTTTCAGGAAAACGACTTTCTCTGGGAGCAGTTAATTAGGAAATAGTGTATTTGTCAGGGAAAGGGGTCAAAAAAAAGTAAAGATGACAATCACACCCCCTTAACGTCCCCCACCCCACTCCCACCCCCGGGGAAAAAAGTAGCTAACTATGGGTCAGTGCCAAAGCCAACCAAAAAACTGGCCCAATGGGATTCAGAGAGGGGATGACAGGAGACCCCGGCAGAGGGGGAGGGGTGGCGCTGACAGGGGATCAGGCGGTGGGGAGATGGCATGCTTCCCGCCCCCGAAAAAGGGAATGTCGAGGACCACGGGTGGAGAGGAAGGCAGAAAGCTCACCCGAGCTGCCGAAGTGAGGGAACGGGGTACGGAACGCGAGAAAGGCGGGACCCTCGGGCAGGAAGGGGTCTTGCGTGCAGCAGACGCAGGTCAGGACGCGGTTCTCGCCAGTTGACCCTCCTGCTCCCCAGCCCCTCCACCCTGACAAACTCACTTTCTCCGCACCCCGAAGTCCGCAAGTCACCCCCAGCCCGCTCCGCGTCCCCCACCCAAAGCTCGAGAGCTGAGGCGGGGGAGCCGGGGCTTCCCCGTCGCCCTCCCCGTCGAGCTGGAGGATCTAGCCCGGGACACGGCCCAGCTGCGTGGGCCAAAAGGCCAGGAGCCTCGCGGAGGCCCAGGAGCCGGGTGACAAGTCTGAGGGGCCGACCCGCACCTCACCTGACAGAAGCGTCTGCAGTAATCCCGGCTGCTGATCCCGACGCCGCCGCTGCCGACACAGCCACCGCTGCCGCCAACCCCTCTCCCTTCGCCCGCAGGTCTGAGCCCCACAGGGCCCGGGGGGGACTCCACAATGGCCACGAGCTCTTCTCCGAGGCGCTCGGCCTCTTGGTCGCTCTCTTCCTCCGCCATGAGGCTCTCGCCGCCCAGCGCGTAACCAGCCCCAGCGCCTCCGCCGCCGCCGCCGCCGCCGCCGCCGCTGCCTCAGCTAACCTCCTCCTCCTCTAGTTCCCTCCCCCTTCCCTCCGCCTTAGCCGGACAGGGGCCACTCGGCTGGGCTCTACTTCCGGCTCCGCCCACCCACGCCCCCAGTCTCCAGTGGAGGAAGCTAACCGCCAATCATACGCATGCCCGCCCTACACTCCAATTGGTTCTGTCAGCCGTCTGTCTGAAAGCCTCGCAGTTTGTTGGTCAAAGTTGCCCAGCGGTTGCTGAGGACCGCCTGCGAGCTCTGCCATAGGCCGTGCTGGAGGACGGGGCGCGGCTGGGGACACGGCGTCCGCGGCGGGGCTCGATCGGGCGGCGGCGGCGGCTGCGGCTGTCCCTCCTCTTGCATCCCGTTGCTCCTCCTTTTCTTCCTCCTCCTTTCGTTTCCGGCCGGGTCTCGTTCACTTCCCCTAACGGCGGCCCTGATCCTCCGGTCCTGAGGAGCCCGGGAGGCGGAAGGTGGGCTCGGCGGTTGGTGAGGCGGCGGGCCGGGGCCTTCAGTCTGGGAACAGGAGCCGGGGGCGGGGTCCGCTGCGGGAGGAGGGAGGTGACGGGCTGCCTGACAGCGCTTGCCCGCGCCCGCCCGCTGACCCCTCCCCAGAGACGGCAGCCGACTTGGTGGCCGACTTCCCGGGCCTTCCGCGGGCCACTGTGACGCGGCCCCGGCCGGCTGGCGGGGTTGAGGCGCGGGGCGCCACCGCGGCGGGAGGAGGCCGTCTAGACGCCGGGCGGCCCGCCCCGGCCTTCCCCGCCCCCACCGTTGCTTGGGGCCTGCGGAGCGCGCGGGCCCCGGGGCTGCAGCCTGGGGCTTGTGGGCCGAGCTCTGCCCGGGCGTGGGCTTGGAGCGGTCGGCCGAGGGCGGAGATCCACCTGTGTGGCGGCTCCCAACGCTCTGCTGCCCGGCTGCATCAGCCTTTTCCTCCCTCCACCATTTTTTTTCTGTTTGTTTTTCGTGTTTTACAGTAAAGGCATGACTTCCCGGCACCGCAGGGAAAATAGGGTGCAAGCCCAGAAACTATTTCCCCACCACCACTTGTTGAAAAACTGATTCGAAGGCGTCTCGAGGTCGAAACAGACGGAAAGTGCAAGGATTGGATGCGTCTCTCTGGTTTTGTAGCGGAGAACCTCAGTATCGAAAAAAACACTGGAAACTAAGCCGGTACACATTTCAACTTTAAAACTTCTGAGGACTTTGCTTTTGCTCTCGTGAATAACTTGCTTTTGTTAGCTGGTTCGTGCGCTTAACTTTGTAACTTCCTCATTTGTTTAAAATATCTTTGTAGTCTTTTGAAAGTATTTCTGCCCTTTAGGTATGTGGTCTGGACTGGGTGGATGTTTGCATCTGCAGTAACATGAACAAACTTAAAAAGTTACCAGAGCAGAAGTACAGGCCTCTCACATCAGCATACAAGAGTTTACAGATTTATTCTGTTTGCAATCCAAATACTATTTTTTCACATAGAAAATAAAATTTAGGCATTACTGGAAACAAGTATTTTTTTCATAACTGCTTTAGAGGCATTGGTCATAATTGGCACAAGTTTGTTTCAGAAATAGAAACTACATACTGTTAGCATAAAATTATAATTCAGTGAGTAGTGCCGTTGGAAACCTATAGCCTAGCACAGTATCTGACACACACGACCTGTGTGCCAAAAGACTTAATAGAAAAAAATCACAGATCTTAAACTTCTTAAAACCTAGGTTTTATGTGCCTTCCAGAATTTTCATAAATTGGTGACTCCTCTGATTTGAGACCATAGGCTTCTTACACATTGACAATTTAAAAATGAGAGAAATTTCATGTTAGGAATCAATACATTCTTTACTATGGATTAATGCAGTGGGATACTCTGTCATTTGTAATTATACATGTAAAGAAAAATTTTTAGAACATTCTTTATAACATTTTATGCAGAGCAGAGTTCCATTTTTCTATCAAATTCATTTTAATATCCTAAGTCTTAGCTCAAAACTCAAAAGCATGGCCCCAAGGGAAAGTTGACTATTCCTAATCACTTATTAGCAAAGCATGATCATCTCTGGTTTTCCATACCTTTGATTTTATGGAACTGACTGTCAAATGATCATAAAATAAAAAGATTGTGGTGGGACTGGTGAGATGGCTCAGCAAATAAAGGTGCTTACTGCCAAGCCTGACAAGAGGCAAGAGGGTTTCAGGTTCCAGCCTGCCTGGACAAGTGGTTTCATTTTGTTTTGTTTTGTTTTTTCAAGCTTATTATTAGGCTAAATTGATAAATTGTTAAGCTGTTTCTAAATTAAATAGTATATTTGGATTATAGAGTAAAGGTGCTCTGAGGTTTGGGATTTTTATTGGTTCATTTGGATCTGGGTTTTGTTTGGTTGTTGCTATTGTTATTTGTGTTGATGGGGGATCAGACCTAAGCTTAGCTCAAGCTAGTCAGTTGCTCTGCCACTCAGCTGCATCCCCAGCCTTTCATTTACTTTCAGTTGATCATCTGTCACATACTGAGCTATGTTAAGAAAAATAAGTGTTAACAGATGTGATTGTTAGTCTTTGATGGAAATAGAAAAACAAGTATTGGAGAAAGAATACTTCAGATACTTTTTTAGAAAAACATAGAGATAATACCCTGGTGAGGTGGTATATAGACCTTTATTCCCTTGCACTTGGGAGTCCAAGTGAGGAGGAGAGATTAAGGCCAGCCTGGTCTACCTAGCAAGCTTTAGGCCAGCTGGGGCTACAGGGAGACCCTGTCTCAAGAAAGAAAGAAAGAAAATTAGAGATAACACATGTATTAAAAATAACTTATTTTGGCTGCAGAGAGACCCTGTATCAAAAAGCCAAAAGCAAAAACTTAGAGATAAAACATGTATTAAAAATAACTTATTTTTCTGGAAATGGTGATGCATGCCTTTAATCTCAGCACTCAGGAGGGAGAGGCAAGTGGAGCTTCAAGTTCAAGGCTAGCTTGGTCTATAAAGGGAGTTCTAGAACAGCCAAGACTACATAGTCAGATTCTGACTCAAAAAAAAAAAAAAACCTTAGAAACTTGTTTTTACTTTTTTATATACATTTGCCTCAATAGTTGTACTTGTTTTTTGTTCTTTGTTAATTTTTACTTGTTTTTTTTTCAGAACACTTTTTGAACTTATATCTATCTTCATATACACGTAATGCTAGTTTCATGGCTTACATGTTAATCTCAACTTTGTGCCCAATTGAGTTCTTAAATCGAGTTGTCCCAGAAAGAAGTTCTTTAAAACTTGGAACAGATACCTAAATTGAGCAAGATTATTATTAATACTCTGAATACTTGTGATTTGGATGTTCTAAAAGATTGAGACATCTAGAATAATTTGAGATATTTAATAAATCTAATTTGTCATAAAAAGGTATGAAGACTGGGAAGATGACTCAGATTTCCAGCACCCTTGTAAAAGCCAAGTATGGCAACACTTCTATAATCCCAATACTGGGGAGCTGAGAGAGAGACAGGCCAATCCCATGGGCTCCTTGGCTATCCTAGATAGAAGGGTGAGCTCTGGGTTCAATGAGAGACCCTGTCAAAGAAAATATGGTGAAAAACAGTAATGGATGACACACATGATGTCAACCTGTAGCTTAAATGCACACATACCACATAGGCATATACCACATTCCCCCAAAATGAAATAACTACCAAGGAATGGATTTAACTGTTAGCTGGTAATTTGCTTTAGTTTTGCCTTCCTTAAATATTTCAGGTAAGTTAAAATTTAAAAGACATAAATCTACCAAATTAAATTAAGATTTCTTTTTAAGTACTGCCAATCATCGAGTGAGTTTAGGTTTTTTTTTTTTTTTTGGTTTTTTTTTTTTTTTTGGTTTTTTTTTTTTTCTTTTAAACCTACATCTCTTTCTCTTGTCATAGGTGAATCTTTATTCAAAGTCAAAATGGAACGATTTGTAGTAACAGCACCACCTGCTCGAAATCGGTCTAAGACTGCCTTGTATGTGACACCTCTGGATCGAGTCACTGAATTTGGAGGTGAACTTCATGAAGATGGAGGAAAACTCTTCTGCACTTCTTGCAATGTGGTTCTGAATCATGTTCGCAAGTCTGCCATTAGTGACCACCTCAAGTCAAAGACTCATACCAAGAGAAAGGCAGAATTTGAGGAGCAGAATGTTAGAAAGAAGCAGAGGCCCCTGACTGCATCTCTTCAATGCAACAGTACTGCACAAACAGAGAAAGTCAGTGTTATCCAGGACTTTGTGAAAATGTGCCTGGAAGCCAACATCCCCCTGGAGAAGGCTGATCACCCAGCAGTCCGAGCTTTCCTGTCTCGCCATGTGAAGAATGGAGGCTCCATACCTAAGTCAGACCAGCTGAGGAGAGCTTACCTGCCTGATGGCTACGAGAATGAGAATCAGCTCCTCAACTCACAAGATTGTTGACAAGGCCATTGTGATCAAGATAAATGATGTGGAGTATTAAAGTTAATGTGTTGATTGTGTGCTTCATTTTTATATTTATTTCATTTAAAATCGTGATACAGAATAGTTTTGCAATGTGTATATAGTTGCAGGCAAAAGGAAAAAAAAAGATCTCACTACAGAAGTTACCATTACTTTTAGTCACCAATGGTATAAAGCAAAACTTAGGTATAGAGTGTTTTATGGTATCTGAAACCTGATGGTTATCTTTCAAATTGATGGTTTTTCTCCTGAAGTGTTTATGCATCGAAGAACTGCCCTGCTTTTTTAGCCCATTGGCCATGTATGGTATTTGGATTGAGAGCTAGCCTGAGAAATTGAAGCTGCTGCCAGGCCACACCACTCACAGTAGGTCAAAGGAATTAAGAGTACTTTCCAAATAGAAGGGAAGGTGGGTAATGTTCTGAAAGCCTGAGATCCCTAGGAGAAATGACCATTCATTTCAAACTGCGTTTTATTTGTATATGAGGTAATTACCTAACCATCCTCCACTTCCTCAGTCTCTTTTTGCTTTCAAAGACTTGTATTTAGTAGCAGCTTCAAGTGACCAAAAGATTAAAATCTCTTAATGTCAGTGCCAAAAGCCACATGGAATTTTGCAGTGACAGGATTTTAGTCTCTTACTATGAACACAAATCTTTGAACCATAAATTTCATGTTAAACACCCATCTGGGATTTGGAAACTTTTCTATGTCTTGGTGTTAAAAGACTACAGGATTGATCTTTTCATTTAAGCACTGGTTCAGTTCCTCTTTTTACAAGTAATTAGTAGTTACTTTTTGATTGACATTAAATAATAAGAAAATTGCTTTCTATACATTAATTTTTCCATAAGATTTTATAAGAGTTTATTTAGATAAATAGACTAGAAACAAGTTTTACTCTTACCTGCTTTGCCTCTGGTGGTACAGGTTTTTAAAGTTGGATGCTAATCCGTTGTCTCAAATAGAGGCAAGAATTTTGTAATGGAGAGAGCAGGATGCTGCCTTATGAAGTAATCAGTTCTGTTAAAGGTCAACCATATTTAGGTTCTCTGACCCTCACTATCCTGTAAGGTTATTAAATTAGCTCAGAAAAGTCCTTCATCAGATCTAAATTACAATTTTTAAATTTTTGGTAATGAAAGACTTGGACTAGAGCTTTAATAAAAAATCAAATATTTGAAAACATTGAAGTTTAAAATTATTTCTATTAGACAACAGTGGCAAAATATCCCTTATGACTTGGAATTATCTGAGGTCATTCTGCCACAAATTGCCCTTAAATAAAAAGCCAAAGTTAGTAAGAAACATAATACAGTTCATGCTTTAAGAGCAGCTTGTCTTGAGTCTTTTGTAGACTTAGTGTTCCTAATTCAGGTATTCATAGTAAGTGGTTTATTTTAAAGGCCTGCTATGAAAAATCAGTTCTCAAAATTTGAAGTTTCCATGTTTCTCATGTTTGGTTATATTCATAGCACAATAGATGCCTAGAGTAGTGCTGCAAGTTGGTAAAGTACACGAGAGACCAGCAGCAAAGTGTAAACAATATTTTGTTTCCTCTTCCTCTAGGAAAAAATTTGCAGGCAACCATGTTTAAATTATCTAAAATGATAGATCTAAGTAGCTAAGAAAATAATTGAGTTTTATAGTACTATTTTCAGAATAAACAGTCTAATTTTTCAGAATTCCATGTGATTTGGACTGTTCTTTGGATATTAATTTGCACCATCAGTAAATGGCAGAACAGCTCTTGGTAGTCTAGTAAAATGATTGATGTTGCATTAAAGAAATTCACATTGAGTAGCTTGTAGTTATTACTGACTTCATAATCAGTTCCTTCCTGTATTACTATTTTTCCAGGTTTGCAACTATTCCCACATTTCACCATCTCATTCTCTTAGGCTTATATCATGTCCATAGAATGAGTTTTAATCCTCTTGAAAAGAAGTTAGTATTAATGTTTCTTCACTTATCAAAGTTTGTTTCTTGGAACTGGTTAAATTTGTCTTGGAAATAATACAGAATGGTTATGTTAGCCTGTTCAGACTGGTAAGATTTTGCGAAACCATGATTGGCATGTTAGATGACAGAAGAGACTGTCGAAAGGGCATGTGCTACTTGAGGCAAAGTGAACATGTACAAAAGCTTTCCATCTTACAGTGTTAGTGATGCTATAGGAAAAATAGCAACTCTTTTTTATAAGTTGTATGTATAATCATAAGCTTTGTAATACTTCATTTATAAATTGTCTTCAACACATGCTTACCTATTAGTGTTTTCTCAAAGTATGGTAGTATGTCTTCCAGAATTACACTATATTCTGACAGTAAATAGTTCTAGCTGTTGAAATGTTGAATTTCTTGTTGGTTTCTTTTTCATTATATGGGGGCATATAGCAAGCCTGGAAGACATTGTAATCATTTTTTACAGAGTGAAAATTTAGAGAGATTGTGTATGAGAACCTATATAGTTATGTTATCCATTATCTTTAAGGCTTTCTATTTAACTGCTACTTCAGTTAATGCCTATGGCCCTACTGAATTTTAAGGGACCAGAAAACATTTAAGAAGCTTTACATCTTACTATTGTAAGTACCGTTGGCAAGCTTTCCAATCTGATACTTTTGCCTGAGTTTGTACCTAAATGTTAATGGAAATACATAATTTTCATTAAAAGCAGAATTTAAGGTGGCCTAAAGTAAACGTCACAATTGGTCATCTGATGCTCAGTCTTTGTAAGGGCTTTCCCATGTTTGACTTACCTCAGCTGCCATCAAATGAGGACAAATCACCTCAAAATGTATTAAAATGGATTGATTTACATGGAAGATTGGTCCTAGAATTTCACTGAAAAGCTAGCCTAAAATAAATTGCTTTAGCTTCTGGTCAGCACTGATGAAAATGTGAATAGTGAAGTGGCTCTCCTCAGCCTTGGTTTTTCTCGATCCATGCTATCATAGATATCTGGGGTACATTCAGTCCTTACCTAGTGCTATTTTACTTGTATCCAGAATACTGTATTAATTAAAATTTACTATGTTCATTTTTGTATTCCTGTGCTTTTTCCCCCTTCTGTTCATGCACGTATATTCACTATAAATGTGTTGCTTTTTAAGTTTGTGACTTAGAAATAAATTTTGAAAGCACATTTTGTTTGGAGCCAATGGCAAATATTTCAGAACTTCAGGTTTTTTACTACGAATTTTAATTTTCTACCAGTCATGTCTCCTGTTTGTAATTTTAGCATTTGTGCCCAACTTGAAAACATTGTATTAAACCAGAGTCACATCATAGCTTCAGATAGCAGCACCCCCCCCCAAGTAATATGTAAGCTTTATCGACATTTTTTAAATTGGAAACATTAGAAGTACTACAAAGGACTGGCGAGATGGCTCATGTGGTTATGAGCACTTGCTGCTCTTGCAAAGGACCCACATCTGAGGGCTCACAACCACCTGTAACTCCAGCTCAAGGGATAGGACACTTTTGGCTTCCACATCACCTGTTTGTACAAGATACACAAACACACACTGATGCACACACATAGATTAATCAATCTTTAGATCAGTTGACCACCACAGGTGGAGAAAAAGTATTAGGCTGGAGAAATGGCTTAGTTCAGAACACTGGCTGCTCTTGCCCAGGACCCTGGTTCAGTTCCGAGCACCTAATAACCTTTTCTGTAACTCCAGTTCTAGGGGGATCTGATGCCCTCTTCTGGCCTCCACAAGCATGTGGTGCAGTTAAAGGAAGCAGGCAAAAACATTCATACACATGTTTTTTTAAAAATTAATGAAAAGAGAAGGCCTCATTTGCACCTCATGTTTTTGAAAACTCACCAAGACAAGCTAGTAAGACGTTTTTAATCATTTTACATAGTTTTAAGGAGATACCTCTGTCCTAACAGAATAACAAACTTCTGAAACCAAAATGGTAGAAAAGATCTTTAGAAATCAATCCATTACTACTTCAGTCTAACACCAAATAACTGTCTTCACCTTTTCTAGAGAATCTCAGCTTACTAAATAAAAACCAATTGTGTGTTTCTGGGTCTTATACCAGCATTCCTCACCACCCCCCCCTTTTATAAACTAAGTTGTATCAAGTACCTAGGGTACAGTGTGTCACCACACAAGGATGCTCCTTAAATCAGACTAACTTCTAACACTGAAAACCTAAAAACTAAAAGTGCTGTGGAAGTTCAGTAAGGTGATGTTTGGCAGGCATGATATGTATGGCATGGCTTCCATCTATTTAGTATTGAAGGAGAATGGGAGATAATTTTGAAATAGGCAGATAGAGGAGGCCCCAGACTAGACTCATCTGTGTTCCAATTAGTCTTACTTGTATGCAAGATGGCCTACTTCCGGACTTTTGTACAAAGTTGGCCCTTTTGTTGGGCTCCCCTCCCCTGCTTCTCTCCCCTCTTGGGGGAATTTCAGATTTCCTGTCCTTGCTCTGCCCAATCAGGTTCCTGATTTCATATGAGAGAAACAACATTAATTCTGCACTTTTCAATACAAACGGGGAAAGGGGAGCCCAGCCCTGTCCCACTCGTACCCTACAGAATATAAAAGTCCAGACTCCAGGGGGTAGTGCTCCAGATTTGCACCCTTCAGTTTGGGGGGAGTCTCTTTGCTCTGTGGTGTGTTTAAACCTTGGCTGTGAGCTGTGACTGCACACTTTTCATCTTGGTGAAGAAAAGGACCAGAGAACAGACCCTAGGTGGCAAGTGTGACAATTGAATTAGTTGTTTTATACTATTTAGAATGCATGCTTCTTATATCTTTTTCAAATGCTGGAGTTGCACAATTTAAAAACCCATTCTCAGGTTGGCTAAATTTGAATAATAGACCATCAGTTGATGTATGCAGTGAGCCTCTTCTACATGCCTGACAATGTATAGTGACATGCTGGAAGGTAGAATATATGTCCTTTCTCCTTCTTGCTAAACTTCCTTAGGCAGGGATGTAATCAACATCCATCTGCTCCTCCATTGGTCCCAGCCGACACACAAACTGAGGTACCATTCCACCAAAATGCACTCTGGGAAACCAATAAGTTTACTGGGTTTACTTACAAAGCAATGGGTGAGGATTTACTTACAAGAGTGTGGGTGCTCCCCACCTAAGGCCACACTGTAAAGTCTTCACCAAGCATAGATGATGGCTTCCCTATAGCCTCATCGAATGATGAGAGGCCTTCCCTCAGTCTTCCCCAGACTATATACGCTAGCCCTTCCCCCAGATCATGTGCAGTTAGGACCAAATTGCTCATCACAGGTTGGGAGGTGTGGCTGAATAATCAGGTGAGGGTCCTATGACTCTCCCTGACCCTGCTTTTATGCAGGGGTATTAACAGTCAACAAGCCCAGCTGTGAATATCTTTGGCAAGTCAGGACAGTTGAGCTCAGGAACATGGCATCTATCTGACTTAGAGAACATTCCTGTACAACACTAGGCAACTGGAAGCATTTCTCATGAAATTTGTTACCAGCCAAGAACTTATCAATGATTTTGTTTGGGTTATCAAAGACTTATGTTTTAAAAAAGCTACAAAAATTGAAAGTTTTCAGATTGCTTAAAATATCTATGTATTTTAGAAATCTGGTATTCTACATAATCCATTGAATACCAATTTCAGATCAAAATCTATTAAGCAGTGGGATTTGCCAATTTAAATGCCTGTAAAGAAAGAACCTGCCACAGGAATTTTAATGAACTGCACACAAAAGGCCTAATACAACTGAATGCTTAATATTAACATAGTCACACAGATACATGCTCATTAATGATTATTACAACCCAGCCCCCTGAGTTCACATGTATATGATAATAAATGCTCTGAAGTTCTCAGTTTGGGCATGAAAGTAATCTGTATAGTGGAATACTTCACTTTTTCTGTATTATATCTTGTTCTTTCCCTTTTAATTGTGCCATTTAATATCAATTCAATAATAATGATAACTACATATTCCTTTTAATATAGTAAATGCCACTTTTATAATGTATCATACAGATGTAAAATAGCAAGCATGTAAAATATATAAAGGAGGTTCATTTTCATATAATGGAAAAAAAGCAGCAGACGCTTTAAAAGTTCAGCAGAACAAAATATGAACTATGGAAGTTATCTAAGAGTTTGTACCAGATTTACCTATGCTAACTTCTAACTTTAAAATGTACAGTGTATTTTCTCACCTTTGAAAAGAATGATGCTACCTAAGTATAATATGTTTGCATGAACTGGGCAGATAAACAACAAATATTAAAATGACTGAGAAGCGCAGATGTTTAATGAGGCAGGTAAAGAATAGTTACCTGTTCTTTTTAAATATACTCTTCCATGACTCATTTGCAATAGCATATGTTTTATATCACACACATAACCAGCTCACATAACAGTTATATGTAAACATGAAGAATAATAAAACGACATAATCTATCTTCTTTATTAATAAAAATATTAAAATAGTTTAATGCCTTCATTCTTTCACATTCATTAAAGAATTGCTGAAAAATATTTTAACTTAATTTTATAAAATTTAGCTCCATATTTATAAAGCTAAGTCATGTTCCTTTTGCTCAAGTTATTATTAAGTTGGTAATGGGGAGTGGATTTCCATTCTGTGATATTATATCTTTAACCTATAGTTTCCATTTGTTTACAGTACTGGGATACATCAGTCCACTGAGTTTCGGTAGTTCTACTAACCAATACAAATTGAATTATTGCTAAAACTGAAAGACTCATTTCAAAATCTGCCTGTAAGTCTTTAATGGAGTTTGTTTTGTTGACAATTTTTATTATTTATTTATTTATTCATTCATTCATTGTGTGCGTGTGTGTGTGTGTGTGTGTGTGTGTGTGTGTGTGTGTGCCCTCTGAGGCCATAAGAGGGTGTTGGATCCCATGGAACTGGAATTATGGGAGGTTGTGAGCTGCCTGATGTGGGTACTGAAAACTGAACTTGGGTCCTCTGGAAGTGCAGCCAGTGCTCTTAACCTCTGAGCCATCTTTCCAGCCCCTTGTTTGGTTTTACTTTTTTTTAAAAAATAATATTTTAACTAATTCTTTGAGAATTTTATACAATGTATTTTGATCACTTCCCTTCCCCCACCTCCTCTCAAATTCACTCTCACCTCCCTACCTCGCCTAACTTTGGTTCCTCTTTGTGTTGCTCAAATACTCTTGGATGTGGCTCCATCCTCTGGAGCATGGCCAACCTACCAGGGGTCATACCCTCAATGAAAACTGACTTTCCCTCTACCGTCAGCAGTCAGTTGCCAGTAGCTCTCCAGCTAGGGGTGGGACTATGTAACCATTCATTCACCCCCTTCATGCTGAAATTTTGTGTGATTTGAGATTTCACAGGTCTTGTACATTTTGTCACAACTGCTGTGAGTTCATTTGTACATCTGTACTGTTGTGTCTGGAAAACACAATTTTGTTGTAGTCATCCACTGCCTCTGGCAAAACTATCTTCTTATAGCAAAAAACTACTGAAATACAAAAGCTACATTTTGGAAACAAATAACACTTCTAGACATGTTTTAAAAATTATATCCAGCAGAATTTGTTTTATTTCATTTGCTTCTGTATGCCTTTTAAGTTTATTTTTGTTAAAACAATGCATGCATATAGCTTATGAGCTCAGATGATGCTAAATGACAGTATCAATAGTCTTGGTTTTAGCCTCTCACTTTCCCAGTTCTTCAGTGTCTCACCGTAATCACCCATTTTAAACTCTTAGCTATTTATTCTGATAATTAATGACTCATTTCTGAATAAAAGGCTCATACCACTTGTTTTTTATTTATCAATTTTAGACACAAGGATAAAAGTAATGATTTTGCCTTTTCCTTTATGCTCCCATAGTTCCCTTCAACAAAGAATTTTTATGTTGTTAAAAATCAGTAGGTAATGTTCTGATTTTTGTGACTATGTGAATAGTTGTTCACTATTAAACCAAATAGCATAGTGCAGTTATTTATCTCTTCATAAAAATTTTCAACTTATTTTTATATTTTAAAAATTCACTGTGTTTGGGA